CCCGATTTTAAATCCAATTTACTGAAATATTTGTAACCTTGACCCAGTTTCCGAATGGATTCTTCCATATTTGGTAATGGTGAAGAATCTTTGATTGTGATCAAGTTTAATTTTTTATAATCCACTACGAAACGATAAGAACCATCTTTTTTCTTGACAAGGATAGCAGGTGCTGCATATGGAGAATGAGATTCTGAAATTAAACCTGCTTGTAAAAATTCTTGGATAATAGCATACATTGGTTCTTCTTTATCTGGTTGTGGATATGGTTTGCAAGCTGGGGGTGTATGTGGGATTGTATTAATAACATGATGAATGGGTGTATCAGCAATATTATGTTCAGTTGTATTAAAAATTCGACGGAAACGGGATAAAAGTGCGAGAAGAGCATCATGATATTGTTTATGTTGTAGTTTGGTAGCTAATTCGCGAATATCTTTATCAACCTGTGGGTGTATCGAAGGAATTGTATAACAAGCAATGGGATTTGTAATGACATCAGTATTATACTGGTTATGTATTGGAAAATATTTCGAAGAGTTGTTCGAATAATGATTAGTCGATTTATCCATGACTAAGTCAAGAGAGACTGGCATCTCGCCAAAAGATTTGACGGCACCACGTGATTTAGTCGTTGGAATCAAAGTGTGGATATTTCGTTGTTGAACGATATAAGAACATAAGAATCCAATACAAACGCCTTTAGTAACGAATTGTGGATAAAGAGTTGTATTAGATAATGTTATAGTAGAAAAATGATTGTAAAATTGAAGAAGTTTATGTGGAATATATAAAGCACTATTTAGTATAAAGTGTTGATGAGGAATAAATGGTGAACTAATAGACGAAATAGGAATGGAAACTTTAGTTGTACGATTTGTATTAGGAGGAAGATGTAAAGATTTGGATAAAGTTATTGGAATAAGTTGAGGTGAATAATTTTGATTGATATTCATATAGTATCGACGATCATTGATCTCAATAGAAATCAATTGATGTTTTGTGTCGATTGTGAGAGTATAGCGGGTAATGTAATCCATTCCGAGAATTATATCGGTGCACAAATTTTGAGCGACATGTGCTTGAATTGTGGTTATTTGATTTGCGAATAATATTGATAATTCAACAGTACCTAATACGTGAAAAGGTGCTAAACCATCGGCTAAAACGAATGAATGAGTATGTTTTTTAACGAAATTATAATATTGGAGTTTTTGTAATGATTTGTGGTTAATAAAGGTTTTGGTTGCTCCGGTGTCCACTAAGAGTTGTAGTTTTTGATTATTAACTAATGTTGTAAGAAAAATTAATGAAGGTTGTGATGGATTGTGTTTTTTATATCCGGAGGCAACACCATCGTTCGATGTCTCCGGTGCTAGAAATTTGGACAGGCACTAGCCTGATGCCCAAATTGTGTACATTGAGTACAATAATCAGTAGGTGTAGATGACTGTTGTGAATTAGGTTGTATTAAATCATCTAGTGGGAGTAAACTACTAACATTAGTTTGTCGCGGATTATTACGAGAAAATGTCTTTGGACGTTGTTGGGGATTTGGTTGTTTGTTATTATTTGTAGTATAAGTATTTGATGACCTTTGTTGGTTAGGACGAAATGGTTGTGGAGCGATCTTTGGTGAAGATCGCGATGATATAGGTAATTTCGTTGATGAAAATGTTGATTGACGGGGTTGAAATGATGAATTATATGAAAGTAATGGATATGATGTACGAAAATTATTTTTATAATAATTATTAGGATAATTATTATTAAATTTCTTCCAATTTTGTGGTTGTGACATTGTAGAAAAAGAATTGGAGTAATTGTGAATCATAGGTGGAACTGATGTAAATGGTAATGTAGGTGATGTAGTATTAGTGTTACTATTGATATTTGTATTTGTATTGATACTAATATTAGATAGTTGATAAAGATCTTCAATTTCTTT